TAAGTGTTCACTTATATATTAAATTTTATATATTATATTTATATAAAATTTTAATTATTTATTTTTTTATTTATAATGATTGAAATTTTGTATTAATGTAGTATTTAAGAATCATGTAGTCTAAGTGAATCTCTCTTTATATATATATATAAATTTTTTTATTGAATGATTATAGATGTTTGTTGAAAAATTAATATGCATGATATATATAAATAAAATATTCATCAAAAAGTAATATTTTAATTTGAAATTAAAACACTAATTTTTTTTATAAGAATTGGAATTGACATGCATTTTATATATAAATTTGTTAATACCAAAGCAAATGTATGATATAAAGTGATGGATGTATATGTTGTTGCTTTCATATATTATAATTTGGATCAAGGTCAATTTTTGTTTCTGGACTATATATGAGTTAAATTAAAACTCATAATCAATCATTTTAATAAGCTAATTAAAGATTCAAAAAAATTGCTGCATCTGTGAAACTCATTCTTTATTAATCATAAGTATTTTCATTTTCACTTGTAATTACTGGTAGTTTCCTGTTTCTTGAATTTACAGTGCATTATATTTTGGAGCAAAGCGCAGTTTTGCGTCCCCTTGAACAAGAAAGTTTTCTGAAATTGAGAAATAAATCTTTTTGATGATATGAACTCGTTAACGTTGTCTCTTGGTAGGTAAGCCCAAAGAGAATTTTTGTTGGGGCCTCTTCTTCCTCTTTTGCTTTCTATCCATTTTTTAGGTTTTAATTTTAGAGAATAGGCTAATTAATAATTATTTGTGATTCTGTTTATATTTCTTACCTCTTTAAATTTACAAGCCTTCTTTAAGTTTGTTGATGCTCCTTTGCGGAATTCCAATAATGTGCTATTCATTAGGACAAATTGATAAAATCACCTAACAAGTTCTTGCATTAGAAATTTATGCTTTTTTCTTCTTTCAGAGATTGAATTAATTCAGATTCAATGAATATAGTTGATAAAATCCCAGTTTTTAATAGCCAAGATTCATATTTTTTGTAAATTTCTTGTGTTGTGTCCTATTTGCTGCTCTACCTCTTTCACTACTGAATAAGAATAGAACTTGCTTATACATGTCCAAGTATATATAGATGAAAAAAAGCTACGAATTGATTTAATTATTTCACAGATTGTTAAGGCTGACATCAATCAAAGCAACAATTTGTCTTGCATATTGATGTTATTGTATATGCTAATTTCATTTTTAATTTATCCATTCATTTATTGTTTAATCATGCTTAATGCTTTCTTCTGCAAGATCGTAGATATAGGTTTAGGACTTGGGAAGTCTAATGCAATTTGCTGT